TTCAGGACAACATTCCCCTCAGAGCAGTTTTCTCCTCAGGACAGCATTACCCTCAGGACTGCATTCCTTTCAGGACAACATTCCCCTCAGAGCAGTTTTCTCCTCAGGACAGCATTACCCTCAGGACTGCATTCCTTTCAGGACAACGTTCCCCTCAGGACTGCATCCCCCTCAGGAGTGCATTCCCTTCAGGACAACATTCCCCTCAGAGCAGTTTTCTCCTCAGGACTGCATCCCCCTCAGAACTGCATTCCCTTCAGGACAGCATTCCCCTCAGAGCAGTTTTCTCTCCAGGACAGCATCCCCCTCAGGAGAGTGTTCCCTCCAGCTCAACATTTCCCTCAGAGCAGTTTTCTCCTCAGGGCAGCGTCCACCCCATGACAGCATTCCCTCAGGACAGCATCTCCCCCAGGACAGTGTTCCTCTCAGAGCAGTTTTCTCCCCAGGACAGCATTCCCCTCAGGACTGCATCCCCCTCAGGAGTTCATTCCCTTCAGGACAACATTCCCCTCAGAGTAGTTTTCTCTTCAGGGCAGCATCCCCCTCAGGACAGTGTTCCTCTCAGAGCAGTTTTCTCCCCAGGGCAACATTCCCCTCAGGACTGCATCCCCCCCAGTAGTGCATTCCCTTCAGGACAACATTACCCTCAGCAGTTTTCTCCCCAGGACAGCATTCCCCTCAGGACAGCATTCCCTTCAGGACAGCATTCCCCTCAGAGCAGTTTTTTCCTCAGGATAGCATCCCACTCCAGACAGCATTGTCTTGAGGACAGCATTCCCCTCAGAGCAGTTTTCTCCCCAGGTCAGTGTCCCCCACAGGACAGCATTCCCCACAGGACACTGTCCCCTCCAGGTCAACATTCCCCTTAGAGCAGTTTTCTCCTCAGGACAGTGTCCCCCTCAGGACAAGTTCCCCCTGAGGACAGCGTTCCCCTCAGAGCAGTTTTCTCCTTAGGACAGGATCCCCGTCCCAACAGCATTCCCCCAAGGACAGCATTCCCTTCAGCTCAGCGTTCCCCTCAGGTGTCTGTTCCCATCAGGACAGCTTTTTCCTCAGGACTGCATTTCCATTAAGACTGCAAACTGTCAGGACAGTCCCCTCAGTTGAACCTCCCCCTCAGGACAGCATGAGAGGTTGTAGGTGCTACGGGCTGACTGCTGATCTGTGATCCACAATGGGACGTCAGCCCCCGCCTTACCAGTCCGTATGCACTTGTTGCCCCCCTTGCTGAGCTCACCAGCCTGCAGTGGGATGTGCAGAGCCCGTCTAGGCTGGCGTCGGGGTTTCTGTCCATATACCTGCTGGCTCATAATTCAGGTTTTTTTCGTCAGAGGTGCTAGGGCTCCCTCAAGTAAAGTGCCAAGGAAAGTACAAACAGAATGTTTGCCAGCGACATGGCAGAAGCAAGATGTCTTCTCATTAGGACCAGTTGTCACAGGTGTTGAAAACAATGGGGCCAGCTGTGACTTCACTGTTCAGGGGTCTTACTCTGGCTAAACAGACCTGGGACAGGCCTGCCCCACCTGTGTGTTCATCCTGGGGCAGCCCTGCGGGGCATCCTGCCCAGAGACTCAACCCCACTCGCACTTCTCTGGGTTCCCAAGCCCTCATGGCCACCCAGCAGAGTGGCTGCCACCCCCAGCCGAGACCTGTTGCACCTTCTACCCAATCCAGCCAGACTTCTGACTTACTCATAGGCCCCATTCCATTCCTAGAAACCCAAAGGCCCCACAAGATCACTCACTTGTGCCTTCAGATAGCCCTGCTCAGGGCCCCCTTTCTTAACCTGAGACTTTTTTTGTTTTTTTCAGCCAGGTGGTAAATTAGTCATTTCTATCTATTCTAAAAGCACTTGCACAAATTTAAAATAAAAATTCACACAAACCTCTTTGAGGTCATCATACCACAGACGTTATGTTTAGTAAATATTAGTAAAACAAGTTGATTTCCTATTAAAACCTTCCAGGAGGTAAGGAGGGATTGGTTGGGTTTAATATCTGTATAATACTCAGAATCCATACACATGTGTTCTTGGATTCGTGCTGTACAAATGCTGGGACTGATGATCCCCTCTCCGATAACTGGGCCAAACGCCCGCTCTGCTCTGCATGTAGGTGGGGGACGTGCAGCCTCTGCAAGGGCTGAGGGCAGAGCCAGAGCACGATTCGGTTACTCCCCACCGAGCACCGCTCACTGGGTCCTGTGAGGCAGGTTCCAGCCCTCTCAACGTCAGCCCTTCGTCTGTCAAGTGGGGATAAAGCCCTGTGTGCACCCAGCACGCGGGGTGGTCACTGGCTGTGGATGAGCCCCGCCCTCCTGTCTCACACCTGCTGGGCCGTTCTTTTCTGTTCGGCCCCGTTGGGAGTTCCGGCTAGTGTGTGACATCCACGCTGGGAAGGCTATCCGGCGGCTTGCCAGCCGGCCCCCCTCTCCCACGTCTCCTATCCTAAAGTCCCCCCCCCTTGTGCCTCCACAGGGGTTTACCAGCTACTTCCAAAGGCATGATGAAGTCCTGACAGAACTGGAAAAGGCCACCAAACGCTTTAAGAAGCTAGAGACAGTGTACAAAGAGTTTGAGCTCCAGAAGGTCTGCTACTTGCCCCTTAACTCCTTCCTGCTGAAGCCCATCCAGCGGCTGGTGCACTACCGCCTGCTCCTGAGCCGGCTGTGTGGGCACTACGCGCCTGCGCACCCTGACTACGCCGACTGCTGCGGTGAGTGTGGGAGCTGGGCCCCTGCCCCCCGCCGGGGTGCCCTGGCCGCGTGGTTAGGAGCCTGGGGGGGGCCAAGGGCTGGGAGCCAGCGTTGCCTCGGTGCTGGGGCCCGCCAGGGCTACCAGGTAGGACCTGAAGGCTTTGGCTTCCTTACGTGGGAAGTACAGGGTGTGAGGCTTCACCCCAGAAGGGCCCAGTACCACGGTGGTCAGGGCTGGCCTCGGCCCTCCCCTCCCCTCCAGCTGGTGGAGGGAGCGGGTCTGTGCCTGTCCTCTGGCTCTACCACTCCAGGGCAAGGCCCCTCTCGGCGGCACATCTGAAGTGTAGGGAAGGACTCTGGTCACCTTGGAAGGGTGCAGGGAGTGGCCTTCTGCTCCGAGGGGCCCTCCACAGCACCCCCTTATCCCCCTACCCACCCACCCAGTGCACTGGGGGTGGAGAGCAGCTCTCAGAGTGACCTGCCACTGTGGGCGTTTCTGTCCTCAAAAGCTTGGCTCTAAAACAACCATTTGGGTCACAATGGCCTGTTAGAAGGTTCTGATCTAGATGGACTTGGTCATTTTTTGTGTTAAAGAGACAAAGGAATAAACCCTGACCTTTTAAGCCTCCAGAGGATTTCTAGTTGTGTACATCTAGTGCCGGAGGTTTTTACAAGTAAGTCTACCACTGTCATTAAAAGATGAAAGATGACTTAGCTTTTCCTTCTAGCTGGTCTCCCCTAAAGGGGAGAAATAAGATGCTTTCTGATGGGTCATATGACATCTTCTTTTCTCATCATTTTAAAAGCAAGTGTTTTCTGTTTGCTAAGAGGAAGGATAAAATTGTCAGAAATGCTTCCAGGCATTTTAAGGGATACCTGAAGTGTGGGGCATTTATAAACCTCCCGCTGGTGGCGGGGTGGGTGCTACGGGCCGAGGGGAGGCGCGGTGGGGGGGGCGCCAGTGCGAGCGGAGAAGGCTGGGCCCGCTTGCCTCTGGTGGGTTCCTCCTTAGTAGGACCCAGCCTGTAGGCTGACACAAGACCCCAACGAGGGTGCATTTCTGAACGTGCTGTGTGAACTGTGAACACAACAGAGGGTTGATAACTCAACAGCCTAGATGGGTTTGCTGCAGAGCCTGGCTGCCTCCAAGCCCTGAGAAAGCCACCGATGGGGGCCCCTTCCCACCTGCTCCCCTACCCATAGGCTTCAGGGAAAGCTTGAGTTTGAACCTACTGGGCAAAAGGGGGTACCTTTAGGTTGGGGCTTTGAGAAGGTGGCTTTGCATCATTGTTTTATCCTTAGTTCAGTGTTTCCCAAGGGCAGTGCCTGGCGCGGGCCAGGTGCCAAGCGTGTCGATGATCCTTCAACAGGACGATGGATCTGTGGAGACCCAGGTGCAGGTGGGCCTGGGGACATCAGTCTGGCATCAGATGGGAAGTGCATCCCCAGATTCCAGCAGCTTCCAGTGCCAGTGCAGGGGCAGTGCGAGCCCATGTGGCAGCCGAGACTTCCAGCCCCGCGCTCCACGCACATGCGGTGGCTGAGTGGTGCAGGGTGCTGTCCGAGGCAGACACGGGCTAGGCAGCCCGTGGTGGACGAGCAGAGCAAAGCGAGTCTCTGCCTGACCTCGTGTCCAGACTTGAGTGGGGCCCTGAAGGACAGCAAGGCCAGGTGTGGCAGGAGCTCAGGAGTGTTCACAGAGCTGACCCTGGGTGTCAGCCCTGTGGGAGCATCCCTGGGGCTCTTACAGTGGTTCACCTTATGGAGGAATAACTCGCCACAGCATGTGCTTTCTTATCTTTCTCCTCTTAAAGCCGTGAGGCAGGTGTCCTCACCCCACTGGGAGCAACCAACTTGCAGGGGCGGAGCCGAGGGGGCAGACGTTTCCTGCTGCGCCTCTTGGGACAACCAGGCACTGTGGCCAGGGTGTCAGTGGGGGTCCTGGCCGGAAGACAGCAGGCTCTCTGATGTGGTCACTGTACTCCGGCTGAGCAGCTGACCCCAGTGTGGCCTGGTCAGGACCGCGCAGACCACTCTCCATGCCTATGTTCCGTCTGCATGAGTTCCCTTTCTGATTAGAAACCTTCATGTCTGTACTGGAACTGTAAGATCAGCACCTGTTCCTCCATTCGAGAAGAAAAGTACAAATGTTTTAAAGATGCAAATTATTTAGCCTCTAAACTACAGTCGGCAATTCTCCCAAAAGAACAAATACTGCTGCGCCCAGAACATGAGTTCTTCACAAAGACTGTTCTCTTTTTACTGAGCTTGAGTGTCAGCTAGTCCACCGTTTGGGCTGAATATGTCCAAGTTTCGGGTCAACTGCGGGGGCCCCCACTTGCTGCACTGGCAGCTGAAAACCAAGGGTGGCAGTCCTGTGAGGAGTTGGGAGTAGAACGTTCCTTGAATTAAACCTGCCTTTTAAAATGCGAGTTCCTGTCCCAAAGGGGTGAGGGGGGGGGATTCCGTCCGTGCCCACCTGCCTGGGCACCTATACTGAGGGGTCTCTCCCCACAGATGCCCTCCAGGCCATCACAGAGGTGACCTCCACACTCCAGCACAGCCTCGCCCGGCTGGAAAACCTCCAGAAACTCACAGAGCTGCAGCGCGACTTGGTTGGCGTAGAGAATCTCATCGCTCCCGGCAGGGTGAGTGGCTTTGAGAAAGGTTTTTGAGGTGGTCACTTCATTGTTTTGTTTTGTTTTTAATTCCAGTATAGTTAACATACAGTGTTCTCTGAGTTTCAGGTGTAAAATCTAGCGGTTCAACAGTTCTGTACATGACTCAGCGCTCATCACGCTAAGTGTGCTCTAATCGTCATCCCCTGTCTCACCCATCCCCCCACCCGCCTCCCCTCTGGTGACCATCGGTGTGTTCTCTAGAGTTCAGGGTCTGTTTCTTGGTTTGCCTCTTTTTTCCCTTTGTTCATTTGTTTTGTTTCTTAAATTCCACAAAGAGTGAAATCATATGGTATTTGTCTTTCTCTGGCTGGCATATTTCACTTGGTATCATACTCTAGATCCATCCATGTTGATGCAAATAGCAAGATTTCATTCTTTTCTATGGCTGGATAATATTCCATTGTACACACACCACACCTTCCTTATCCATTCATTTGTCCATGGACACTGGGGTTGCTTCCATGTTTTTGCTATTGTAAATAATGCTGCGGTAGACATAGGGGTGCATGTATCTTTTCAAATTAGTGTTTTCTTTTTCTTTGGGTAAATACCCAGTAGTGTGATCACTGGATCATGTGGTAATTCTATTTTAACTTTTTGAGGACCCTCCGTACTGTTTTCCAGAGTGGCTGCACCAGTTTGCATTCCTACAACCTCGCCAACACGTTGTTTCTTGTGTTTTAAAGTCGTCCTAACAGGTGTGACATGCTTTCTTGTTGTGGTTTCCATTTGAATTTCCCTGATGATGAGTGATGTTGAGCACCTTTTCATGTTTTTGTTGGCCATCTGTAGGTTTTCTTTGGAGAAATGTCTGTTCATATCCTCTGGCCATTTTTAATCGACTTATTTCATTTTGTGGTGTTAAGTTGTATAAGTTCTTTGTGTATTTTGAATATTAACCTTTTATCAGATATGTCATTTGCAAATACCTTCTCCCATTCAGTAGGTTATCTTTGTGTTTTGTTGATTGTTTCCTTTGCTGTGCAAAAACTTATTTTGATGAAGTCCCAATAGTTTATTTTTGCTTCTGTTTCCCTTGCCTCAAGAGAGATATCTAGAAAACTGCTGCTAAGGCTGACATCAGAGAAGTTACAGCCTGCATTTTCTTCTAGGATTTTTATGGTTTCAGGTCTCACATTTAGGTCTTTAATACATATTGAATTTATTTTCTTGTATGGTGTGAGAAAGTGGTTCAGTTTCATTCTTTTGCATGTAGCTGTCCAGTTCTCCCAGCACCATTTGTTGAAGAGACCATCTTTTCCCCATTGCATATTCTTGCTTCCATTGTTAAAAATTAATTGACCATATAATAGTGGGTTTATTTCTGGGTTTTTCCGTTGTGTTTCGTTGATCTGTGTGTCTGTTTTTGTGCCAGTACCATGCTGTCTTGATGACGACAGCTTTGTAGTATAGCTTGAACTCTGGGGTTGTGATGCCTTGTTCTTTTTCATTTCACTGCATGTAATTGAGTTGTAAGTCACATAGCACAGAATCCACTGTGCAGTCCATTGGTCTTTAGTATATCCACAAGGTTGTGCCATCATCAACAGTAATTCCAGGACATGTTCATCCCCCCAACAAGAAAAGCTGTACCTGTTAAGTCACTCCCCACCCCCTCCCCAATCTATGGCAGCTACTCATCCACTCTTGGCGGCTTTGCCTCTCCTGGACATTTCCTATAAATGAAATCATTATGTGGCCTTTTGTGTCTGGCTTCTTTGGCTGAGCCTCCTGTTTCCCAGGTTCTTGCTGTAGTAGGTCAGCACCCCCTTTCAGTGACTGCGTCGGTCCCAGTCTCTGCACGCATCGCATTGTTTGTCCGCTCATCTGCTGTACACTCGGGTTGTTCCCCCTTCGTGGTGATTGGGAATAATGCTGCTGTGAACATTTGTGCACAGGTCCTTGTGTGACCATGTGCTTTCAGTTCTCCTGGTAGCACCTAGGAGCGGAGCTGCTGGGTCACATGGTAACTGTGTTTCACATTTTGAGAAGCTGCCGGTTTTCCAGTTTACTGGGCAATTTTACATTCCTACCAGGAGTGTGTTAGGGATCTGGTTTCTCCGTATCTTATCTTTTTGATTCTAGCCATCATGGTGGTATGGAATGGTGTCTCATTGTGCATGTGATTCCCATTTCTCAGATGGCTAATGTCAGGTTTCTTGTCATGTGTTTATTAGCCACTTGTGTGCCTTCTTTGGAGAAATGCCTATTGAGATCCTTTGCCTACCTTTTAATTGGGTTGTCTTTTTGCTGCTGAGTTGTGAGATTCTTTATCTATTCTGGACCCCAGACACTTAATAGGATTTGCAAATATGTCCTTCCATTTTGTGGGTGGTTTCTTCATTTTCTCAATGGTATCATTTACAACACAGAAGGTTTTTTTATTTTTATGAAGTCAAATTTACCTATTTTCTCTTGGGTGGCTTGTGCTTTGTCACAGATGAGACACCACTGCCCGGTCCACAGTATGACAATCTACCTCTATGTTTTCTTCTAGAAACTTCCTGTGTTTCAGCTCTTACATTTAGATTTGATGGTTTTGTAATTCATTTTTGTGTGGTGTGAGGTCGGGGTCCCACTTCATTTTTTTCCCTGTGAATATCCAGCGCCATTTGCTGAACTGTCCATAGACACAGATGGGCAAGTTTAATTTTGAACTCTCGATCCTATTCCCTGGGTCTACAATCTACACTGCCTACTTTGTCACTAATGCCTTTTTGAACTCAGTACTGTCAACAGAAGAAGCCGTTTTACGGATTGCATGAGAATGTTTCCTGTCTCAACACAAACATACATGTAATAGAGTGTGGCTGTGTTAGTCATGTTTCCATGTTAGCCTTGTTAGAAGGTACAGAGAATGTGGGGTCACAAGCTCAAAGAAATGGACTACACTAAAATGTATAGGAAGGTTCTGATCTCCTGGAGTTAGGGCTTTGGTTGGGTGCCAGGATAGCTCCGTTTCCTTTCCGTCCTTGACCACGGGGCTCTGAGTGGAGCTGTTGGCTGGGAGCTCCTGGAGGTCCGTAGGGCTCTCAGTACAGGTGGTTTCTCGTCGTGCCCTCCCACCCCCCACCGTGTGTTACAGAGGGCGGCCCCTGGGAATCGTCACTGAGGGGTAAGGGGAGTAGCCACAGAGCAGGGGTCGGGGTGGGCTCTGTGTGTGGCCTGGACAGGTTGCTCCACGTCTGTGACATGGGGGTCTTGGGGCAACAAGGGGACTGATGTCAACTGCTTGGCCCAGTGCCTTGCATGAAGTAGTTGGTGTGCGAACACTTGCTGCCATAGTTGTTGTTTTTAGCCGAACTCTCTAAAGTCTGAACCCAGGGCTGCCGGTCTCCTTGTTAAATATGTGTGTCAGTCACAGACAGAAACCACACTAGTTATGTGAGCAGAGGACTTTAAGAACAAGGGTTGTTAACTAGGAAGAAAGTTGGTAAAGAGGTATCCAAGGGTAAGAAGAACTGGGAAACCTCTAAGAGGTAGAATGCAGGTGCTGCCAAGGGCGGGCCCACAGTGTGGCGGGGGCGGGGTTTGAGGGAAGAGCACCCACGGGCCTGGGACACGCTCCCCTGGAGAAGGGGCTGCTGCCCAGCTGGTCCTTGGGTCTGGGGGTTGAGGCGGTCGGGTGGTGGAGCTGGCTCTGTGAGGGCAGGAACCCCTGCAAATAGGATTTGTGGCCGCAGGAAGAGGCAGGGGCTGGCTACCCACTCGCCCTCTGCCAAAGAGCAGGGCGGGGAAGGTGGGTCTGACGTCAAAGCCGCAGAAGCCTGGAGCTCAGAATCGCACTCAGAATCGGGCCCAGCCCATCCTGCGGCGCAGGCGCCATGCCAGGGCGCGCCCTGCTCATCTCCTTTTGTCCACAAGGCTCCTCTGAAGTTCACCTCTCTGTGCCTTCGCTCAGTCCATTTGAGGGCTGGGGTCTTCTGGCAAGTTCTCAGGGTGTGAAGCTCATGCTCCTGCTTATCTGGAAGGACCAACAGATCGGCAGGAGAGTATCTGGAAATCGTTCAAACCAGAATTCTTCAGACACTTCCCGCCAGTGGCGCAGGCAGTTAGGGGCCTGTTTTGACATCTGCGCCTTCAGGGGTGTACGTGTGGGCCTGGGCGGCGGCGCTCCAGCACCGATGGGGATGTGGGAGGCGTCCCCAAGTCCTGGCCGTACCATCAGGCCCTGGTGGGAGAGGCAGAACCTTCTCCTCTCCCTCTGTGGCTCCTGCTGGAGCTCCAGCCCCACCAGTGTCTCATCACTTCAGGTTGGAAACCTTTGTGGTTTCAGGAACCCTCTCTCCCCGTGCCAATGCCAGGGTGGCAGCTGACGCTCATTACCTGTCAGCATTTGATGAGAACCAGGCGTGCCATCCTCCGGCTGCTCTGGCCCAGTGTTTCTTCAAAGCTGAACTCAGAGATCTCCATGCCTAAGCCTTCCAGGAGCGTCCCCTCAATAAGAACAAGACCGTTTGCCTTACTGGCCCTCAGCATAGCTGGCCTGTGGCGAGATGGGGCCACAGGTGCTCAGCAGACAGTCTGGGGACTGACATGGGTGGCCAAGCAAGCAGGCAGGAGGGAAGAGGTTGGAAAGACGTGGAGGGTCCTGGGCAGGAGGGCACCGTCAAAGGGCCTGTGAGGGGCTCGGAGAAGCATGAACAGTGACACCAGCCTGTCCCTCAGCCCCGCCAGCACACCGCCCGTGGAAGCGGCCTGGGACTGGCACGAAAGGACCTCCTCTCTCTCTCCCTCAGGAGTTTATCCGCGAGGGCTGCCTTCACAAGCTCACCAAGAAGGGCCTGCAGCAGAGGATGTTCTTTCTGGTAGGTGGGATGGGTGTGGTTCTGTTAGGGGAGCCAATGCTGTGGTCCAGGCGAGCAGCCCCAAGTCAGACAGGAGCCAGGTGAGGACCGCAGAAAACACTCCCGGCGAGGTGCCTTCCTCACTGGGTATTCTGGGCACCTGTCTGCAGGACCCTCAGAAAGCCAGAAGATAGCAAATCCAAGTCCCTGTTGCTGCAGGAATGTTACGCTCATTGCTTTGCCATGGAGTGCCGAGGCCCTCCCAGTGAGGACCCTCGATCCCTTCCTCCTGCCAGTTAGTCGACTCAGGCCGGAGCCATCCTGGCTGAGGGGTAACGGGAGGTACCAGCCAGAACTCCCCACTGCCTCTAGCTGGAGGGTGCTGGGCACTGGCCCAAGAGACCTGCTGACTCACGGGGTTACTAGCTACCTCTTGTCAAAATAACTTAACTTTTTAAAAAATATTTATTTGAGCGAGAGAGAGAAAGCATGGAAGGGAAGGGCAGAGGGAGAGGGAGAGAGAAACTTAAGCAGACTCCAACCTGAGCGCAGAAGCCGACGTGGGGCTCGATCTCACGACCCTGAGATCACGACCTGAGCTGAAACCAATGACTATTAGACATTGAAACTTGTCACTTGTTTTTAAACTTTTGTGTAATAAAGCCTCTCGTCTCAGTTCTCAGATATGCTGCTGTACACAAGCAAAGGTGTCACGGGCACCAGCCACTTCCGGATCCGGGGCCTCCTTCCCCTCCGCGGCATGCTGGTGAGTGCTCGGCCGCCACGCTGGCTATTCTCAGGCCGTCGTGGTTACTGTTCTTGGTGCTCCACGGGCCCTGCCTGCAGCCTCAGGCCCTGAGGACGAGGCCCCGGCTCACATGTCCACCTCCCCTGGGGAGCCTGGCCTTCAGTAGGAGGCACAATGAAAGACCCCAGTTGGGTGCTTAGGGGGGTGGAGCTGACACAGCTTCTGAAAGAGAAACCTGAACCACTAATTCTAAAGACTATAGAGCCTTTCTCTGTTCTTGTGCTTCTGTCTCATAAGAGCAGCTGTGTTCCCTTTCTGTCACCCTAACTAGTTGTCTCACACACGTGCATGTGCACACACACACCTTCAAAGTGGCAAGACAGCACCACGGACAAGTGAGGAAGGCTGCAGTTCGGGGCTGGGCTCGGGTCTCCCCTCCGCGTTGTGTGAGCGGCCAGGGGGAAAGGTCCCGTTCCACCCATGCGCCGCCGTGGCAGGCCTGGGCCATCGATGACCCTGTTGCACAGCGAGCCCGCTGTCCACGCCACATACCTGTCACGGATCCACATCACAGGTTCGACAGGACGCTTCATGTCATCTCTGACGAGCCCTTTGTTTTAATGTGACCCAGTTCCTCAGCCTTACCCTTGTGCTCAGTGCTTTTCGTGGCCTGACAAAGACCCTGCTTGAAGGTCACAGAGAAAACTCCTACACACACATTGACTCGTTCTCCATTTGCCCTTGAGTGTAGACCTGCACTCAGCCTGGAACCCATCTTTGGGAACAGCAAAGACAGGAAGCCCCTGGTCAAGGTGTCCATGGGTGGGGCTCGGACCCCACTCTGCTCTGTTACATCTGGCCAGTCGGCCTCAGTTTCTACCGCCTTCTTCGAGGGTACCTTCCGTGCTCGGCCCTCCATGGTCCTCGGCACTGTCCCTCCTTCCACTGGGCACCTGAGCCTTCGGCAGGCGTAACGTTTGGTTCAGCTTTTTTAACCCTCAGCAAAAAGGGGGCCTGTTTGAATGACCACATCTGCCATCGCCAGAAGCACACCCCATCTGTTTTAAAGTATACTTTTAAAAATACTTTCATCATAGAAAAAAATTGAAAATATAAAATAAAAATCACTCATGACTGGACCACCTAGTAATACACACTGTGGGCATTTTGCGACACACCCTTCGGTCTTCGGAGGTAACTGATATGCCTAGTGGCCACGCAGTTCGTCACTAACGTCTCCTGTCCTTGTAACCCAGGAGCTCTGGGTTCATTTCGAGGAGATGAGCAGTAGGCTGGCAAGCCAGACTCCGACTTTCCTATTTCCCTACACTGGACATTTTGGCTCCATTTAGTTTTTCAGAATTAAGAAATGACACCATTGGATCTCTTTCGACACATCCTTGCCTACGCCTAAAACATACTGTTTGAGCAGCGGGTACACCACTTTTGAGGCTCTGAACAGGACCGTGAGTCACTGCTGCAGCACCTGCTCCAGCCGACCTTCCCATTCAGTGCATCTGAACCTGCCTTCCCACAGCCTGGGGTGGGGGAGCACAGGGCGTTCACCCCTCACCCTTCGCAGTTTGGTGAGGAGGGCACAGCCCTTGGCGGTCAGTGAGGCTGACGGAGGCCGTGTCTCCTGGAGTCTGGGGCCTCCCCCTGGGGTGGCACCCGGGTGTGTCTGTCACTCTGGTCTCTATTTGTGGCATGTTTACAGACGCCAGCCTGCTCTCAGGGGTACCAGATGCTGTCTCCAGTTTGTAGTTCTTTTTTATGTTTCCTGCAGTTTGGTTTTATTTGTAGAATTGAAACCCCCCTGGACAGACACTGTTGTCTTACTCCTGGGATGGCAGCTGGCAGAGAGGGCCCAACAAATACCTGTTCAAGGAGGGAAATCAGACATCTCTGTAGTCCTCTGTCCAGCTTTTGAGTGCAGACTCCGAAGTCCTTCCCCACGCCAAGATCATATTGGCACCTTTGTCTTCTGACACATTCACAGTTTGATTTTTCTTACTGCATGACCTGTCTCCACGTGTGTCGCTGGGCGGCTGGACTGGGCCGCACCACTTGCTTTCCGCCCGTCCGTGCAGCTGCCCTCCTCATGGCAACAGTTCCCGCCTTCACGCTTGGGGTTCTTTCTGGGCCTTCTGTTCCATCTCTGCACCAGCATCCGTCCACATTCTTCTGAGTCATGTGTTGTGTGGAAGAGTTGCTATGTGGATGAATAAGCATGTCCCTTACTCGTCCTTTTTAAAAAGTGCTTTGTGCTCTCAAGTATTTAATTCTTCAAAATAAACTTAGGAATCATTTGGACAAATTTCTTCAAAAAACAGCACTCAGATTTCTATTGAAATCACATTACATTTACATGCTAACTCAGGGTAAGGGAAGACGAACATCTTGACCTTTTCTTGCCGGCCACTGCTCCTGCTCATTTCGGATCGTGTGCGTCCCACAAGGCTCCGTGGTTGGCATCTCCTGGGCCCCGCGCAGGCCAACTGTCCATCCTGGGGCCGTCTGCAGCTGGCTGGTCCCGGGGGACAGACAGCCGGCCCTCATCCTGAATGCAGAGGGAAGGGCAGCAGGTCTTGGCTTCAGAAAGAGGACCTCTATCGTGTTTACGTCTTCCTCGTGTTTCTGACATATTATCAGAAATCACACGTTGGATTTTAGCAAAGGTGTGTGCAGCATGTAGAGATGTCCACCCCTTCCCTGTGGACTCAAGGACAGGGTTGAAGCACCTTTGCATTCCTAGAACCTCACTTGGTCCTGGGACAATTTCCTGTCTGTGCTTTAGGCAGGATTAAGTAGTATTTTATTTGGGAGTTATTTCAGTCACTTAAAACTGAGATCAGTCGTGTTAGGTTTTTCTTTGATTTTGTTAGGTTTTGGTACCAGGTTTATAAAGTGAATTGTCCAATTCCCTTTTAATAATGAAAATGCTCAATATTTTTTCCTGTGCTTGACTTTCAGCTAATAGTGCTGGACCCACCGGTGAGTAGTTGGGTGCCCTGTGGCCCACAGCCCACCCACCTGGGTGGCAGGTGCCATGGCGTGGGGATCCCTGTGCCTCCTGTAGCCGCTCGTAGTCAGCGTAGACTCGCACAGGGCTTCCACGGCGCCTGTGTCATGCTGCAAGCACGGGTCCTGCCCACCCTGCGCTCGCTCCAGACGTTTGCCTCTTCTCCCGCCACAGGTTGAAGAAGGTGAGGCTGAACGGTCTGTTCCACACTGTTTCACCATTTGTGCAGTGCAGAAAACGGTCGTAGTGGCAGCCAGGTACGGGCTTTCCACGCCTGCCCCTGGTAGGCCCTGGGGTGGGGGCCCCCTTGAGCCCAGCTTCAGTTATGTGACCAGGGGAGAGCAGCTTCTCCTTGAGTGGGAAGCTTGTGACCATTGAGAATGTCTGCACAGAGTGGCCCCTGAGCCTCAGTTCATGGCACTTGACCAGGGGCAGCTTGTGCGGACCGGCAGTCTCCCGGGCACGCACACTGAGGCACCCTCAAGTCCGGGGAAGGGCCCGCAGGGCAGCCACACCAGGGCCGCCTCACCTGCATCCTGTCCCCACAGCAGGGCTGTAACTTGGTAGCAGCCACTTTTCCCAAATCACATCCGGTGGGGAGGAGGCCTGAGCCCAACGGTGAGCAGGCGGCTCAGTCTCTCCGCTATGGGAGCCGGGGGTCCCCAGCACCTTCCCAGGGGGAGAGGCTATCCTCCTCCTGGGTGGGCACCTGGCTCTCAGCTCCCACCCTACCGTGGCCTGACCGATGTCCTGGCTGATGGCAGCGAGCACAGGACATGAGCGCCCCCCACAGCCTGGGCACCTGGACAGGAACCAGCAACCAACCCTGTATCTTGGCACCAAACGCTCCAAAGTCTTTGTTTCGGGAAGCAACCCCCCCCTTACAGAAGCCCCCGTTGCAGCACTGAGGGGCTACCTTCCCTCCTCTGCCGCTCCCGACAGCTCCCAAGGGGATGCGGGCTGGGCCCCCAGCAGCATTCCCGACAGCCCCCCGGGGCCCACAGGACAGGGCACTCCAACCTTCTGTCTTGCTCTGAGGAGCTGGCACGGCAAGGAGGCCCTGGTGGCTCTGCTGAGCCGGCTCTGAGCCTCGGCCCTCCCCCCAGCACTCGCCTGGAAAAGGACAAGTGGCTGTGTGACCTGAACACCGCCATCGACGCGGCCAAGAGCGGGAGTGACCAATCCCTGGCGCTGCCGGGCGGCGTGGTGTGCGCTCCTCCCTACAGTGAGTTCTGGCCAAGTTGCCCCCTGCAGAACCCACTCTGCACCTGAGCAAGCTTCTCTACAAAGCCCTTTTTTTTTCTGAGAGCGTGAGTGGGGAGGAGGCGGGGGGGCAGAGCGAGAAGCCGACTCCCCGCTGAGCAGGGAGCCCCACGTGGGGCTCGATCTCACGACTCTGAGATCATGACCCGAGCTGAAGAGTCGGACGCTCCGACTGAGGCACGCAGGCGCCCCTACAAATCCATTTTCTTGGTCACAGGCCTCCTGCTAGAGCCCATGTGCTCTCCTTCCACAAGGAATGTTCTGGCCCCCCTGGGGTGGGAAGGGACCAGGAGGGACAGCGAGCTCCTCTGGCAGAAGCACATCATGTGGGCCCTGGGCCATAGGGCTCCTGGCCTCCCCAGGCCCAGCCCCTTTGCTGAGCACCAGACCAAGGGCACCCCAGGCCCTACTCGCCCCCTGCCCCCATCTCTGAGAGGGATTGTCTCCTCCCCCAGGATCCTCTGAGGAGGTCGCTCTGGAGCAGGAGTCCGAAGATGCTCGTGGCTGCCACGGCACCCTGGAGGGGCAGGGCCAGCACCGGGCCAACACCACAGTGCACGTGTGCTGGTACCGGAACACCAGCGTCTCCAGAGCCGACCACAGCGCAGCTGTCGAGGTATGGCTGCCAGGGGCACCCTCTGCTTGTGCTGGCTAATGGGCAGGGCTTGTGGGGGTCCCACGTGGCAGGGCTGGGTGGGATAGGCATACGTGGGAGCGCTCTCCTAGTCTGTCCCCTTGGGCAGGAAGCCAGGTAGGCAAGTCCCCTCTGGCAAAGCGGCCCAGGCGGCCACCAGGCTGTGGGCTGACCGTCCCCGTCAGGGCTGGGGCCAGCCCGTGAGACCAGCTCTGAGCCGCGTGTGCGGGAGGATCCAGGGGGTAGGATCCCCGGGGTTCTCTGGAAAGGGCTCCTCTCACAGGGGCTGCTGCCTCCCCTCCATCACCTGGAGTAGCCGCTTTGGACTCCAGCCCTTCAGCCCTCAGGCTGCCTCCCACTCTGGGGGGGTTTTCGAGTTCCTGTCACACCCCGGGCAGAAGCAGCAGTGCCAGGTGAGGAAGCCTCCAGAGCCCTGGGCTCACGCGGCAGCTGAGGCCCAGCACGCAAGCAGGCCCCAGGAGCCTGGGGACGGGCACAGTGGCAGGGCGCCCGTGGGCACCAGCCCTGACAGGGGGCCCATCTGCCTTGCCCCACAGGGAGGGTTATGAGGAGAGAGTGGGGTCATTGGCCACAGGGTGGCCATCCCTGGGTGAGGACTCCGGCCTCCTCACAGGCCGGGGCAGAGGAGCAGCTCACTCCTAATCCTGCTGGCGTGGACGCCACACTCAGGGCCGGGAGCTGGGGCGTCTTGTCAGAACTGCATTTACTTGGCTCTGTGTGGTCTGTGATGGTCACGGCTGGAATCACTAAACAGGGAAAAGAAACTTACTGTTCTATGTAGTGCCTGGGATTTCATTCTCCAGATTTTTAAAACTCCTTCCGTTAGACAAAGAGGCCGACAGGCCCAGAGCAGTGAAGTCACACCCAGAGCAGAGGAAGGCCGTAGGGGCCAATGCTGCATTCTGGGGGAGCAGGTGCTACTCTGGGGGGAGTCCTAGGACACGGACTGGGTCCAGTGGCTTTTTCTTTTCCTGCAGAATCAGCTTTCAGGGTATCTGCTGAGAAAATTCAAGAACAGTAATGGCTGGCAGAAGCTCTGGGTGGTCTTTACCAATTTCTGTTTGTTCTTCTACAAAACTCATCAGGTACGGGTGCTTGGGGGGAGCCGGGGGGGCTGTGCCTGTCGCCGGCAGACAGCGGCCCCCGCTAGCCGCAACACTTCCAGTTCAGAGGAGGGTGGTCTTCCGGCTCTTCGACCTGCTCCCCCAGGGCTCCCCAGGCCCCAGCGTAGTGAGAGCGGGCCATCAGGACAGGGCTGGCTGGTGGGGACAGCACCTGCAAAGCCGCATGCCACCTCGCAGGACGACTACCCCCTGGCCAGCCTCCCGCTGCTGGGCTACAGCGTGAGTGTCCCCAAGGAGGCTGACGGTGTCCACAAGCAGCACGTCTTCAAGCTCCAGTTCAAGTCCCACGTCTACTTCTTCCGAGCTGAGAGCAAGTACACGTTTGGGAGGTAATCCTGGGGTCTGCCGCCATGCCCTGGGGTCCCCTGCTGCTGAGCTTCCAGGGTTTTCGCCTGTCCTTGCCTCGTCCCGTTCACTCCATGTTTGGGGGTGTCCTCAGGGAAGACACTTGAGCACAAGGCCACGGGTATGACCAGAGCATCCCTCGACTCCCAAGTGAGTATCTTGGGAGCTTCTGATGGTCCCACCTCTGCTCCAGGTGGATGGAGGTGATCGAGAGAGCCGGCAGCTCACCTGGGAGGGCCAGGTGTCCCGAGGAAGAGGCATGAAGCCCATCCTGCCCGACGAGGACAGAGCCAAGGAAGCAGAGCTGGGTCAGCACTTCCCCTGCAACTGCATGTCCCAGCGTCCCCAACACAGGATGGCGGGTGGGGTAGGATGGTGTGCGGGGGGAAGCCTCAGTGACCTCTGGGAGGGGCAGCATCCCCTCAGCCCCGTGGGCACCAGGAGGATCCCACATGCACGTGGAACTGCAGGCCCAGCTCGGGATCGAGCAAGCCCCGTGCTCATCCGCCCTCCCCTCTCCCTGAGCGGCACCTGCGGAGGACTGGCCTAGAACAGGACCCCGCGTCACGTGCTGCACAGAGGCCCAGCAGAAGCCACTGCGGTGCCCACCCCGCAGACCTCTGGAGAAGGGGAAACCAAAGTTCCCCCAAGGGCCTCTAATTTATTAGTTCGCAGTGTTTCCCAACAAATTGGAAGTAAAGAGACACAAGCTCTGTTCATTTGTGCTAACGCGCTTGCGGTGCCAGATAAAGGGCTTCTCCCCGCACCCTGCGTGCCGCCCTGCCCTCTGCCGGCAGCCCCGGGGTCACCATGTGCCGGGACAAGGACTCAGAAGCCAGGAACTGGGCCCCACCCACCGCCAGCATCTCTCCAATTCAGGTCTTTATTCAAAGTGGCAGGAGCCTCTCCATATTCTATGAAAACTAACACCTTAACTTCAGAACATTTAGGGAAACGAGGAAGTTCATTTTCTTTAAAAACAAAAACAAAACCACACTACCACAACCAGTTCTGGCTGACTCGAGTACTTTGGAGACGCGGTACCTGATCCAACACCACCAGGCCAATCTACGACCGGCGTGGCCACCGTGGGCCCCTGGGCAGGGGAGGAGGCGGACGGGCCCAACAGTCCCCGCTCCTCAATCCAGGGCGCCACGGGGTTCGCCGCTCCGCTGCCGGGAAGGGGTGGAGGCTGTGACCCAGCAGCGAGGCCCACGTGGCCACAGCAGCACAGGGGTTCAAGTCAGCCCAGGCCTGACAAGCTCCGCACAAAGACCCTTCTCCCCATGCTCCACGAGCTGCCGCGCCCTTCAGCGGGTTGACGTCAGGTGGTTTCTGCTGTGTGAAAACCTGCGGAGAAGAAGCCTGGCCTGGAGCGCAGACAGGGCGCACCGCCGCCGCCGCCACCACGGGGGAGTGGGCAGTGGGCAGCCGCACAGGGCGGGCCGCAGGCTCGGGGCTCCGGGCTCTGGGGTGCCCGCCGAGCGGGCGGCCTGCTCTCTGAATCGAGCCTGTGGGCACAGCCGCTAAAGGCAGGCAGACTGGAAGGTACGATGGGAGAGCGGGAGACACGTGCACAGCCTCGTCCCCAGTGTGAGGGCCGCGCCACTCGCCCTGGGCCTCACCTCTGCACCCGCTCCACCAGGTGAGCCATCAGCTTGTCCGAGATGCCAGGGCAGGACTCCTCAGCCAGGCTGAAGGCGTTCTCCAGCTCCTCCAGCGCCCCCACGCCCCCGCCACTCTGCTTGTGCTTCTCCTTGAGCTGCGGAGAAACCCCCGTGCGCCTCAGCCGTGAGCTCCTGCCCGAGCACGGGGCCCTTGGCGGGGAGGCTCTCGCGAGGGGCTCGCGCCAAAGGCTCCCCAGCCCGTCCCCGGGGCCTGCATCTGTGGGACCCGGGGCACCGCACCTCCACCTGCACCAGAGACCTAGCAGTCCTTCCACCACGAAGCCGGGCCGGGCTGGGTCCCACCAAGTCCCTGAGGCTCTGGTGAGGAACGGAGGCAGAGCCGAGGCCGCCGCCGGGGAAGGCAGGTGCTGCGCCGCCCCCACGCCCCAGGCCATCTCAGGTCTTGGTTCTCAAGAGGGGTCTCTACCGGCCTCTCGCACTGAGGTGGGCCAGGCTAACCACGTGGCTTCCTCCCAACTGAGGGTCACAGAAGCTCAAAACCCCAAGTGCCCCGCACGGCCAGATCTAGACAGCCTGACCCCTGGCCTCCCTAGCACCCACGCGGTGGGAACCGGATGGAGGATCCCCACCCTCCAGCTGACCTGGCAGGCAGCAGTTAGAAACAGGTCAACCCCGTGCTCCCGCCGTACTCCTCACAGAAACAAAAAGGGAAGGAGCCTGCGTGCCTCCCAGGACAACCCCTCCAGCAGCCTCGACCTCAGGCCCAGCCCACAGAATCAGGAGCCACAGCGGGTGTGCCTGACAAGCGGGATGAAGCCATGCTCCCCGCCCCCATCCTCCCCACGCACGTGGCAGGGGCTCCAGCGGCCCACGGCCCTACCCCCCACACGTCCCTCAAAGCCCACGCCACCCACTCAGCAGCCCAGGGCGCTAGCGGCCCTGGCCCTCCCCTCTGACACTCTGCCACCTCCCTGCAGGCCCTGCCTCGCTGCCAGTGCGGGCACACGTCCCAGCTGAGCCCCACAAGCTCCAGGTGCCCAGCCCGTGACCGTCCCTCCCTTGCCACCTCCCCCTCTCCAAGCTCCCCCCACCTTGTCTTCCAGACCCTTCTGGGTGGGCGCTCTCCTGCCTGTACGCAGATGCCCCCGCACCCACCCCTTCCCTCAGACAGGCTCTCAGCATCCCGTCCTCGCTCCCTGGGCTCCGGGTGCTGCTGTCACCTGGGTGGGAACCGGGCTATATCGTATTCCTGGGGTGTTACCCATCACCCATCAGCAGGTGACAAGAAGGGTGACAGGACCACTGGGGAGTCACCCTTGAGGCCTCCCTGCCCTGGGCCAGACATCCAACACTGAGAACCGAGCCTCCCAGGCTCTCTGAACAGGTGACCGTCCCGTGTTTGTAATTCAGAATAAAGAGTCACAGAACTCTAGTTTCGTTCAAGGACCCCAGCAGGCTGAGAACTCGGGAAGGTCACATGAAGGTACGTTGTCCCAACCACTTCTTTGCTCAGAAAGCCTGGCCCCCAGATCTGGGCCCAACCACAGTGGGTTCCGAGGGGCCCGGAAACCCCACACACACGGCGCGCTGGCGGCACCCCTCACTGTAAACCTCGTGTAACACTGCGTGGAAAGTGTCTGCGGGCGGCACTACGGCCCTCACCTCTCCAAACACAGGCCGGACCAGCGTGGACAGGCACTGGGACCTCGGCTGCCTCTTGACGGGCTCCGCAGACTGCAAGGGCAAAGCGACAGCAGGGTGAGCAGGGCAGAGGAAAGGGTGCACACCCAGGGGGCAGGCGTGCTCCCTCCCCCACACTTCCGTGGGAGCACCCACGCCAGGGCACCTGCCACCCCCAGAAGCAACGCCCACCCCCGGCCAGCTCAGACCTTCGGGGGGCCGTGCAGGGCTGCCCCCTTGTGCAGTTTGCTGTGCGGGCCTGGCCGGATGGTGGGGGGGAACGTCCAGATGGGACCCTGCTCTCCGTCCTCAGCATCTGCATCGCTGGGGTGGAAGGCCAAGGGTTGTGAGGGCCCTGGGGGCTGGGATTGGGAGTCCCAAGGCCCACACCTTGTCTAGCCTCCCATTTATTTTGGAGGCCACCTCATAGCCCTAAATGCTAAGTAGGCCCGCCTGGGCTTCAGGGGCCCATGGCCCAAGGCCGTGAGGGTCTGCACCATCCGGAAGGGCCCCTACATGTCCGAGTCCTCGGAGCTGGACTCCTCGCCGTGCCCTTCCGACTTCCAGCGCTTGTAGCGGTCGATGAGCTCGGTGAGGAAGGAGGTCTTCTTGGTGTAGCGTGTGATGAACTTGTGCTTCAGGAGCTCCTTGGCAGTGGGCCGCTGCCGGGGAAAAGGATGCAGGTCACCCGGTGCCAGGGACAGCTGAGCTCTGCCTTCAGGCCCTGGAGCTCAGTGCTCCCCGGGGGACCCAGTGGGAGGAGGCAGCCAGGAGGCTGGGGGTGGGGGAGCTCCCCTAGAGCTAAGCCGCTGGTGGGTCCCACCCTAGGATCAGGAGGGGCTTGGAGCAGGGGGACACCTGGCACAGGGAAGGGGCCTCAGGCCCACTCACACCCCATGGGGCCTGGTTCCCAAGCAGCCCCACCGCATGTCACTGCTCGGGCCCCTCCCAGCCTGCCCCATGGAGCCAGGGCCCCGGGCGCCACCACGGGACAGGGCTTACGAATCGGGGGTCCTTGTTGAGGCAGGCCTCCACAAACTCCTTGAAGGGCTTGCTATGGTGGCCCTCCAGGGTGGGCGGGCTGTTCTTGGGGATCAGGAACAGGACACGCATGGGGTGGAGGTCAGAGTTCGGAGGCTCACCCTTGGCCAGCTCGATGGCTGTGATCCCCAACGACCAGATGTCGGCCTGGACAGAGACCCACATAGGACCGTGGCTGCCGGGGGCTCCCCAGGCTGTGCCGCAGCCACCCTCCTACCCACCAGCGTGCCCACCTTAAAGTCATAGGCCGACTGCTTGATGACCTCGGGTGCCATCCAGAAGGGGGTGCCCACAAACGTGTTCCTCTTGATCTGCGTGTCTGTGAGCTGCCCCGCCACCCCGAAGTCTGCCAGCTTCACGTCCCCCTGCTCTGAGAGCAGCACGTTGGCGGCTGCTCAACAAAGGACAGCAGGTGTCACCCTCAGCACCGTGCAGGGCCCCAGCCTGCATGCAGCTGCCGAAGGAAGCACAAGGCCACCTGGGGACACCCAGTGCGTCTGATTCAGGGACCTCAGCTTTCCTCTCCAGCCAGTGGGCCAGAGACCCAGAGACCCAGGGCCATAGGCACTGCGGGTGGGTAGCTGCAAGCATGGGGGGCCCACCTGGGCGCCCCCAGCACGAGCTCCAGGGCCCTCCCAGTGTTTGCCTCTCATGACAAACCCCAAGAGCAGAGCCACAGCGCGGCAGGCAGAGGGGACTCGGACCCTTGGCCTCACGCTCCCAGCTGCCTCGTCGGCTCAGCAGGGCTGGTCACAGGGTGGGGTGGCTCAGACCCACAGCTGACACTTGGATGGGGGACCATGAGCAAGCGTTGTCCCTTCTCACACAAGGTGCAGAGCTATAGCAGGGACAGGCGACTACCTTCTATCCGACAGAACTGCTCGGTTTCCAGCATCAGAAGAGAGTAAAGGCCGGAAGCGCTGAGCTACAGGGTCCCGGGCCCCCAGCACCCCCAGCCGCACAGCCCTCACAGCGACCTGCCACCTCCCACCCCGGCGCTTCTAGGGTCGGGGGGCACAGGGACCTTTGATGTCTCGGTGGATCTTGCGCTCCGAGTGCAAGTAGTCCAGGCCCTTCAGGATCTCCCGCAGGATGGTGGCGATGTAGGTCTCCTCCAGCGGGCCGGGTTTAAGCTGCAGGCAGAGGAGGGCCTCAGGCACCCCCAAACACAGACCAGCCCTTCCTTCCACGCCACTCCAGACCCATCGCCAGGGCCCTGACGCGACCACCTCTCTACCAGAGGAGGGGCCCTGCGGACAGCGGGAACCTCTTGTTCCCTCAACAGCTCCTGATTAAACGAAGCTCCGTGTGCCGAGTCAGGTGGGAGTGGGGAAGGTTCTCCTGAGTGCGGACACTGCTTGCTTGTCTGTTGCAAACGGGGTCCCAGCCATGCTGCCGAGCCTGCCTGCCTGGAGGCCCCCCCCCTCACCTGCACCCTACAGGCCCAGGACCCCTCAGCACAAGCAGTGGAAGGGGACTGCAAACAGCAGTTCATTTTACGGCTGAGATGGCTCCTAAGTAACATGGAATACACCAGAATGGCAAAGGAGAGGCCAGGGGGCCTCAGACAGGGGTCCAGAGGTGCTGCCGGTACAGCCCCCACAGCAACCTTCTTCTGTCTGCTCCTGCCCACGGCAAGCTGCCCACTGTTGTGGCCTACACCTCACCAGGTCCAACGCAGAACCGCCGCCCAGATACTCCATGATGATCCACAGCTTCGTGCTCTGGGACCAGAGAAACACCTGTCAGCACGGGGCAGAGTGCAAAGGGGCACAGCCGGGCCAGGGCCCCAGGACACACCCTCCCCAGCAGGGGTGACTCCACAAAAGGGCCCCAGCAGCCCCGTCCAGCTCCCCTCCTATCAGACCCCCAATGCAACCACTTTGCAGACAGGCCAGTGGCCGAGTCCCCTATGCCCACACCCCATCAAAAACCAGACCAGGAAGACGGCAAGCCCAGCCAGCACTCGGGCTCCCTGTACCTGCACCCCAAGCATCCCCCTTCCCCCTGGGCAGGCCCCCCAGGAGCTGACACTGGGCTCCGGCTGCAGGGGTTGCAGAGTACCCCCAGCAGGGCTCCCAGACGCTGTCCCACGGGGGCTGCCCCAACCCTAGGAGATGCCCACAGCCAGGCAAGGGGTCACCATGACCCTTCAGAGCTAACTAGACCCTACTCACACCCTACACACCCACCTGGCCCTTGGGACGGCTGTTTCTGGGGGACCGACTCCACTGTGAAGATGGGTCTGTGTTCAACTACTGGGGTCCCTCACCCTTCAGACCAGGCCTTTCTGCCCCACTGTCCCCCGGAGGGCAGACCCAGCCCAGGCCTTCTGAGCAGGTACAGGGACTTCCAGGGTCCCGCAGCTCCAACTGCACGAACACTGGGCATTATCACTCCACCTCTCCAGACGCAGGCTGGGCCGGGGGCGGCTGTCACCGGCATCTACCGAAGCAGGCCCAGCACAGGGCAAGCCCTCCCCACCCCCCAGGCACCTTCAGGTAGGAGCCGAAGTAGCGGGTGATATATGGGCTGTCACACTGGCTGAGCACAGTGATTTCCTGCTGAATGTCCTCGATCTCATCCTCGGCCTCCTCCAGGTCGATGATCTTGATGGCCACCACCTCCTTGGTGCGGTTGTCAATGCCCTTGTACACCTCCCCAAAGGAGCCCTTGCCGATACGGTCCAGCTTGGTGAAGAGCTCCTCGGGGTCCACGCGCGAGTGCTGCAGGGACACAGGGCGGGCAGCCCGTCGGGGGAGTGGGACGGGCCGAGGTGACCATCCCCAAAACGAGGAGCCACATTCCGCGTATGTGAGCTCACCCACGTTCTCTTCTCCTTTCTTCTTTTATCCCTTTTTGTTCAGAAGAACTGAACGTACCCTCCACACAGAGGAAAAGATCCTCCGAGAGCAGAGAGGCCCGGGTACTAGGCAAGGGATCAGGCCATGGAGCAGGTGGAGGGACCATAAAGGCCCCACACGTGGGGAGGACCAAGTGAGGCACAACGACACATTTAAAGGGACGTGGAAACGGCGAGGCTATCCCGTACGACCGTGGGGACGGCGGGGGCGGCAGCCAGAATCTCTCACGAACCACGGGCCTAGTTAGTAAGAACAGCCCCAGCTGCCTCTGCGCTTGTAACAAACAGACCACACTAAAGCCTAGAGATGTGAGAAGCAGGCGGAGACCCTCCAGAAAGGGATGAGGGATGGACCGGCACTCACTCATTCTCCTGTAGGCCCCGGAGACTCTTAAACAACAAAGTCTACGCATTAAAACAGAAAACAAACCCAGTACGCATTATCTGAGTTCTCCCTGCACACCTGCAAGCCATGCCCCTTGGAAAGGGCTCCTTTTCTCGCCCCACATCAGTCTTCAGAGCAGCTACACCCTCACACCAGCACAGAGTTGAAAACTGATGGCTCTCCTGGATGCTTAATCCTGGATGTGCAAGTATCCCAGAAAACCACTGCATGCAATCCTCGGACCGAAATTCAAATAAGGCCTGAGGGGTGCTGAGCAGCTGGGACAGAGAGCACCCAGCAGTCTGAGCCCCAGGACACGGCTGCAGAGAGGCGTCATCCATGGGCTGAGGACCACACTCTTGATGCTGACCCTCCCTGAGTCGGGCTGAGATGGCTCAACGTGGGGGCTCCACGAAGGATGGCAACACCCCTGGGGGTCCCCTAGCCCCTGCCCGCATGGCTCCCTAGGCTCCTGAGAACACCAAGCCGCTGTGTTCTCAGTTAGAGGCTGTGCGCACAGTTCCAGAGTGACAAGGAGGGGCGGGGTGCCCCAGGACCCACGCAGGGGTTTGAGGCCCTGGGCAGAGGCGAGGGTGGGGCCTAGCGTCTTGTCCAAACAAAGGCAGAACGGGCTTTCTCGGGCCTGGGGACTCAGACCCACCAGGAGGTGCCTCCCTCGAGAGGCTGCTCCCAAACCCCCAAGCACCTATCAACAAGGGGACATCTTGGCGTGAATCTAACGTGGCCAGGCATAAGAAGGAAAAAAATCCCAGCTCACCATGCATCAGCACTGACTGCTGTGTACACCAGTGCTGAGGGAAGGCCCATCCTGGGAGCGATGGGTGCCCCATGGTGCCAAGGAGAGTCCTCCAAGCATGGACTCCGCACACACCTGGGAGCCCACCTCGGACTCACCCCCAAGCTGGGCCCACAGTGAGACCACACGTCAGCAGAAACTGCCAATCAGCTGCCTTTCCCAAGGTGTGTAACTGGGAGGGAGGAGCCGGCACACGCAGGCCACACCTGAACACACCACAGCACCTTCCCCAGCCCCGAATCTGAGCACCAGGCAAGCCAGAAGACCGAGGGCGCCCCGGTGCTGGGAACTTCGCAGGAGAGTTGAGTGGAGCGGGTCCCGGCAGGGGTCAAGGCGCCAAGAGCAGCATCGCAGAGTCCCCCACACAAGGCAGGCTGGGCAAGGGGCCAGAGGCAGGCCCCTCCGGCAGCCCGGTGAGGCGTCCGCGCTCACCCCGGCCCCGCCGGTTAAGAAACGTGGTCCTCCTCACCTCCTCACCAGGACCGGCGGCCCGGTCCCAGAGCCAGCGCATGCGGAGGACAAAGCGCAGCAGATGCATGTGGCCAAAGCTACTGCCAAGTCCCTTGGGCTGAAGGCTTCAGCAGGACATTGAGAGCTGAGTGCCACTCAGGTCTCTCGGGCCCAACTGCCGGGCAGCTCCGTTCCTGCTACGCACGCTCTGAGGAACACCAGGACAAGTGAGGCATGGGGCTGCGAGCCACAGCTGCTCAGCTGTCTGGACGGGGGCGTGGATCACAGGATCAGAACCCACCCAGACCTGAGGGAAAGGCCTGGCAGGGGCACGCCACCAATTCCCAGCCCACACGGTGGGCCAGCCAGCAGTCAGCATGAAAACGCCTTCCTGCCAAAGAGAGGGCCTTCTCCACCTCTGGGGGAGCAGAACCCCACCATTCCCTGCTCAGTCCCGGACTTCCCGGGGGAATGTGGTCAGGGAGACGGCCCCTGGGGCCCACACCGCACCTCACCACCTTCCCGAATGTTCTTTCCGTTCATTCAGCCATCAGTGCCCCTGGCATGCGGTCCGGCACACTGCCAGCCTGCAGCCCTGCCCCTGCCCCAGACGTGCTGCCACAGCCCCGCAGGACACCCCAAGAGCGTCGCCCAGGAACTCCAGTCCATTTGGTGCTGTGCCATCGTGTCCTCTGTCACTGGAGAGAAAGTCCCTCTGCTGAGGTGGCCTGAGAGCGAGCCGGGGCAGGCAGGGCTGACACCCGGCAGCACCAACCAGCACCACTGCACCTCCGGCTCTCAGGGGTCCCCTGCCCACCCTCCGCCCTGCGGAGAACCCCGCATCAGTCTCCACACAGGCCCAAAGGTGTGTCTGTCTGCTCCACCATAGCAGCCCAACCAGGGAAACCCCCAGACAGGGCGGTGAGACCTCCACTTGCCTGGGAGCAGAACACGGTGGCCCCCGCAGCCAGAGTTCCAGGCCCCAGCCCCCAACTCTCACCCTCCTGGAGTCTCCACCCCTGCAGGCCCGTCAAGTCAGCAGACAGCATGACAAGAACGCCCCCGCCTGAGACCCTCACACGACAAGCGACAAGCATATCACAGGGACCCCGTGTTCCCAGCTCCACCTGGAAGGAAAGGCAAGCAGCTCCCAGCTCTGGGCTGCTTTTCTAGGCAAGGCACAGTCTAGACAACCACTCAAGGCTCAAGTGGCTCTGCTGGTTGAGACCCTTGATCTCCAGCCCCGAAGCCGCCAGGTCTAGGGCCACCGTTCATGTCACCCCACAAAACGAAGGGAGCAAAGCCATTCCCACCCAGCACACGACAGGTGGGGCAGCCAGTGCTAGGGCACCTGTAGCCATGCCTGCGGGCAGGGCAGGAACCACCCAGGCGGAGGGGAGCCGGCCACGGCACGAGCATAGGCCCTGGGGGAGCATGCCCCACGCGGCCCCAGTGACCACCAACTCAGGAGAAAACCAGGCGTCCTGCCACTGACAGAGGCCGAGTCTACTGGCCTCTGAAAGGACAGAAGGCTTCCTTCCTTTGGGGTCCCTTCCCCAGCTCCTCCACTCCCGCACCCCCGCAGCAGGGGTGACCTGGCCGCCCAGGGCCGACACCGAGCACCATCGGTCCACAGGGACAGGCGCAGCTCACGGCTCCAATTTCTCATTCTGGGACCCACGGGAACTACTCCCACAGCTTTTTTTTTTTTTCTTCCTGTATTTCAAGGAGGAAAAGAAGAACAGCACAGAATATTTCTATTCTATTTTGAGAAAAACGAAACCTTGAAGTGAGACACATTCTGCCATTTGATTACGGGACAGTTGAGAGCTTCAGCCCCAGGTAGACTTGGATTTGAAGCCTCTACCTGTCACTTTCTAGCCAACTAACATTTCTAAGCATCCCGTTTTTAAATTTGGGGAGCAAGAGCACCTGTGTGGTAAGGGTGCTAGAGGAATTACAGGAGACAAACACAGAAAAGCTGAGTGCAAAGACTAACTGGTTTTAGTGCCCTGTTAACGCGTACTGAATAACTGTCACGTAGGTAAGATGTTTTTTTCAACTCAATTCTTTTTTCTAGTCAGCACCTTTGCATCTGAAGTACGCAGATAAATCCTGAAGCCCATGACACGTCGTCGTGTGGCATTCTGTGGAGGTGGGAACAGCAGTCGTGGGATTTACAAGGTGGGGTTTGACAAAGTCACTCAGTGCGCACCCCGCTTCCTTCTGAGGTGTGCCTTCTTTGCGGCTTCGGTCACTCACCAGAACCAGGACTGGGCTGAGGCAAGTGAGGCTCTCTTCCCGGTGCAAAATCTGCCCTACAGCGCTCTTAAGAATAAGCTGGAGGCCAGCTTTCCCCCCAGCGTCACAGGCATGCAGTTTACCAGACACCAATGTCAAAACGAACGAAGAATCTGCTAGCTTCGCTGAGCATCGGTCAGCAAGGCCCAGTCCCCATCTGCGGCCACAGCTGGTCCAGGACGCCCTGCTCAACAGGAGCCCCCTGGGTCTGGAGCTGAGCCCTTCTCCCGTTCCTCCTCCCCCAAGTCGGGCCCACAGGCCCCCTGCTCATCCCTCGCCCCAGTCCCCCCCCAACCCCCCAATTCAGCACACAGGGGCCAGCGGAGGGTGCTAACAGACAATCCCAACCCCCCAGCAGTCCGCCTAAACCTTGCCCAAGCTAACCCTTCAAGGAGAACAGAACCAAGCAGGGAAGAAAACCTGGCTGTCAGAGTAGTTTCCTCAACTCCACGTCAGCCTCAGCTCACACTGTTCTCAAGTAACAAGGGAGGGGAGCACAGAGGACCAGCCCCCATGCTGGCTGCCCTGACCCTGCCCTCCCCGCGCCAGCAGCAGGTGCTCGCTCCAGGCACAGTCAGGGCACACCGTGGAAGGCCCCCCGGAGTCAGCGGGTTCACACGCAAGGCCAGACCCCTCAAGGTGGCTCGGCGTTGGGAATGACAAGAGCTCATCAATCACAGAAGACACACAGCAGGCACCTTCCCGTAAGACTTCTGGCCCCGGTCACACAGGTTCTTCCCAGCAGCCTTCTCCGTCTCCCCCCAAGGGCAACACACTCCTGGCCTCTGCTCTCCCTACACACCAACTTACGCCCGCTTCACCACATTCCCAGCCCCTCCTGCCTGTCTGTCCGCAGAGGAGTCCCCACGGCCTCTGCCCCAGCCCAACACGGCCAGATGACCCTGGCCCGTTCCAACGCTCAAGTGTGGACTCTGCCCTTCAAAGACCCTCCCAATGGGAAGATCCAGGTTCCCACAGAATCCCACCCAGGCCGCCCAGCCCTGCTCTGCTCCAGGCATAAGGCTCTGCACACTCTCCACGGTCCTCGCAGGGCAGCTGTTTTGACGAGTCTTGCGGGCTTCTGCCCCAGGACACTTCACGCCAGCCAACCTGCGTCAGTGCCCGCCCCACCCAGCCGGTGCCCCTCTGGACCGCTCCCTATCTGGCCCCGGGACGTACACACCGGGGTCCCCAACCTTCCCTTCAGCCCACACTCCTTCGCGGGCTGCGCGCTTCTGAAACCCCAGAATGTTTCGGGAGAGACACCCCCTTGGCGACACAAATGTCCCTTCGTGACCCCGCGCTCTTTCCTGCTCAGTGCTCAGGTCTCTAGGAGTTCGGGCAGGCCACTCACAACCCAGAAACCAACTCTTACCTGGCTGGCAAATCCCCTGAGGTGAGCCATGTCTGCGATGCCCTCAGACCATCCGTGGCAACCTCAGGACGCCCCTGGATCCCGCCTTGAGGCTCTGGAACCTGGCTCCCTCGCTTCAGTCAACTGCAAGGAGAGCAGGCCCGCTCCACGCTCCATCGGGGCGCACGGGGCTCCCCCGGGCCAGGCGCCCCCACCCATGTCGTTCCTTAAGGGGCCCTCCCACCAGGCCCGCTGACCCCCACCCAGGGCCGGGTCCCCGAGCCCCCTCACAGCCCCTACGGCTGAGCCCCGCCCCCAGCGCCCTGCCCCACCCGAACCCCGCCCCGCCCTGCCCCCACCGCAAGCCCCGCCCCGAGTTCCCTCAGCGCCCTCCA